GCATTTTTGAAGGCATCCGGTTGATCAGGAACGTTGCAGTCATGACGGCTTCACTCCACAAGAATTTTGGCACATTCATAGTGAACATAAGTGATCGAGCCACTTATGAAATGTGTCTGTTCTTTCTTTCTGCAACACCATTCTGAGCAGGGGTATCTGGACATGATGTTTGGTTCATTATGCCTTGTGCTGACAGAAAACCTCCAAATTGCTTGTTTACATATTCAGCTCCATTGTCACATATGATCACCTGCACATTAAATTGGTTTTGCACATAGGCATAAAACTCCTGAAAACATTGGAATACCTCATCTTTATGTCACATGAGGTACACCCAAGTCATGCGAGTGTGGCAGTCTATAAATGTCAAAAAATATTTCATCTAACAGAAACAGCGGGACATGTCCACACATCAGAGTGAATCAGCATAAACAAGGATATACTCCTTATCCCCTTACTCAAATATGAGATTCTTGTGTGCTTTGCATATTCACATGCATCACACATAAACTTACTCTTGTCTACTCCACGCATTACATCAGGAAACATCTTACTCATCTTATAAAAAGCCATATGCCCCATGCGGCAGTGATGGATCATCGACATTTTCTCACTTACTCCAACTAGTATAGCCAAAATAGGACTAGCACGAGACCTAGACACATCACGATCCATATACCACAATCCACTACGCCTGGTTCCTGTCCCAAGTTCCCTTCCAGTCATCCTCTCCTAAATCAAACATATTTTCTTATCAAGAGTTATTCGGCGATCTATCTGATCAATCAAAGCACTTAGAGAAAGCAAGTTCACACGAAAAGATGGAACATGTAATACATCAGATAATTTAATAGTGGGTGTACATTGAACTGATCCAACTCATTTAATCGGTTGTGAGGTGCCATCAATAGTTTGTATTGTTTCACAATGTGTAATTGGGTACTGAATATATGATTCAAACTCAGTTGAGGTACCCACAACATGGTTGGATGCTCCAGAATCTAATATCCAATCTGGAAGAAAATCATGTGTGGATATAGATGCATTTGCAAAGTTACCTTCCCCTGTGTAGACAAAGTGGGCAAAGTTCCCAAAGGTGTTGTCCTCCTGGCTTCTACTCTTTGACTGCCCTCGAGAGGTTGTTGACGTCCCTTCTTCTTGTGTTGCCAGGTTAGCCAAGTTTGCTTTGAAGCCACTGGAATAATTCGAACCCCTAGAGTTACCTCTGCCTCTACCTCCCCGGTATCCACCTCGGCTGTAACCTCTTCCCCTACCATGTATCTCTCTGCGTTGTGATGTGCAATTGATGCTTATGTGACCTTTATCTCCACAGTTGAAGCACTCTCTTGTCTCCTTTCATTCAGACACAGTAAATGCTGAGCGAGATGCATTCGCTTCCCCAATCCTGGTCAACTTCAACCTGACCTCCTCATGTGCCATTGCTGCAACTGCCTCCTCAAGTGAGGGGAGCTTTGGCTACGAAAAAACCCAGCACACCTCCCTTCAAATTCTGAGCTAAGTCCCTTCAAGAATTTCATTACTCTCCTACGCTCTGCCCACTTCTTAGTAGCAACTATACATTTTGAATGTGGTAACTCCAGTGGATCACAGTGGTCTAGGTCAGCCCACAAATGCTGCAATTCTGCTACATACTCCATCACCGACTTATCCCCTTGTTTTAGTTCATTTACTCTATCCTCAATCTGTGCCATAAGCATTATGTTCCCTTTCCCGGAGTACAATGTTTCCAGGGTTTTCCATACCTCTGTTGCATGGGGAAGACTCTCCACGGCTGCTGCAATGGATGGAGTCAAGGAGTTCAGCAGCCATGCCACCACCAAAGAGTCAATGACACTCCACTTCTTCCACTCTTCACTTGCCCTGTTCGCCGGTTCATCGACTTCCCCTCTGACATAGCCTTCCAGCCCCTTTGTCCTCAATATTAGCAATGCCCTTCTGGACCAGCTTAGGTAGTTTGTGAGCCCCTCCATCTTGATTTCATTTGGCATCAATTCTATTTTCGGTATCACCTCAGGCTGAGGAACAAGCGCACCTGGGGAAGGCACACCCTCTTCCTTGATAGTGATGAGCTCAGCTAGCTTCTCCAATGCCTTTACCAACCCCTGGTTGTCCCCCATCTTTCCAATCTTGAATCACACCACTAGCAACCTCCAGCAACCACTGCTCCCCACTTTCAACCTCTCTACTACCTTCTCCCCTCAGATCTGGGATTCCACCTCTCCTTCTTCCACACAAGCCTTCTCCTCTCAGACAGTCGTCAGCAAGCACCACCAACCAACCACCATCACCACTGCTGGGATTAGGAACCCAAGCTCCGACACCATGTAGAATCAGGGGAGAGAGGGGTGGTGGCTGGGATAGAGAGATAGCCCGGTGTTGTATTCTATTGGAGTTAGGGTTCCCTATACAAGGGGGCAACACATATATAGGCTGCTAGGCTACATGGGCCATAAGCGCGCGCGCGCACACACACACACACACTGAAGTACAGATAAGACACAGCCCAACAATGAATGTAAAAGGAAGCTCGATAGCAATATGAGCAGATACGGTAAAAAAGGTGTGAGCCAATGATTTGATCTTGACCGACAAATGGAGATCCTGCGACTGCCAGCTGGGGACTTGAGTAGTTCTGTGTACTGCATCACTTCATCATCTTGGCCGCACATTGTAGATCCAAGGACTTGGGCATGTTGCCGGCAAGGGAACAACTACTGAAGAAGAACGGGGGAAGGAAGGAGCCTGGCAATACCCCCCCCCCACACACACACACAAGACCAGACTTGTCCTCAGGGCTTGAAAATTGGGGAGATCTTCTGGACAAATGTCGAGTCTTCCCAAGTGGCTTTTAAGTGGGCAGATTTGCCCATTTGACCAACTATCTAACAACTGGAATACAGATTTATCCTTGGGGGGTCTTGGAATGAGCTTGTTATTTATAACTTCTCTAGGTTGGAGTTGAATTTGGCCCTAATCATCCACTATGGGCAACTGTTTGGTAGGAATGACATGAGTTGCAATGTGTTGCTTCAGCTGGCTTGCATGAAAGGTGTGGCGTAGTTTACTCCCCTTAGGAAGGAGCAGCTGATAGGCGTGGTTCCTACTTTCTTGAGAATCTGAATGGACCATAGTAATTAAAATGTAGCTTCCAGTGCTGGTGAATGCTGAGATGCATAGGTGTGCCTGTATGGCTGAATTTTCAACTCAACCATGTGCCCATCCTGAAAAACTCTTCCTTTCCTCTTTTTGTTTGGAAAGTGTTTCATCCTTTCTTGTGCCTTTTGCAAGTTTGCTTTATCACTTGATGAGCTACATCCTTGTTGAGCAGTAAATCAGGGAGTCCTCGCTTCAAAGATATATTTGACTGGATTCTCCTACCATGGGGGGAGGAAAGCCATAGAGAACTTGAAATGGGGTCATTTGCATAGAGGTGTGGAAAGTTGTGTCATACCACCAAAATATTGCATAATGGGAAGCCATAGAGAGCTCAAGAAATTGCATTGTTCAGTTAGCTCTAGAATACTACATAATGGAGTCAACGTGAAGTTAACTGGATTATTAAGTTAAATTCGGTTAACTACATTATTGAGTTCAATTCGGAGTTGGGTATACTCTACTGTTTACATTCAGTCCAAGTGGATTTCACCAAATAAATTATCCAGTGTGCAATTCAAAAATAGTGAAGATGCACAGCATACTACCTCACACATTCAGTTATAGCACCACAACATACCACATCAAACCACAGAAACAACCACATCCACAATATAGTTGAAGATTACATACCTGCACAACACAACCTAGGAATCTCCTCCAAGTCAAACTACCTTCAAAAGCCACCATCTTTTTCGGCCTTTGACCATGCATTTTGGCTCAAACAAGCATAGATCCACAGAAAAGATGGATCCACCCATAGTGTTAGGTGTTTCCTGCAAGCACCGTAACAGAAACAACCTTGGATTCAAGCACTGGAACGCAGAAAATGAAAACATCCCCAACTTCACAAGACCTAACCCTAACCCTAGTTCAGTTTGAGCATGGTGGACCTACAAAGAGCTCCATTTCCATGCCAACCATGGAGATGTCATCGTCCGAGATCTCCTCGTCGTCCTTCGAGGAAGGCATCCTCAACTTCGACTAGCGGCAACAGCGGCGGCGGCAATGGCGGCGTGGTCGGAGGAGAGAGAGTGAGTCAGCTGAAAGAGTGAGGTATGAGAGTGGGCAGTGAGAGAGTGGCTCGGTCAAGCCTATTTGACCAGCACCGACGGGTTCTGGCCGAGACGCGCCATTAACGCCCACCAGGTGCCCGCCATCATCCCTTAGCCTCGCTGTCACTTGACTTGTGGGCCCAACAAGTCATAAACGAGTTTAGAAACAGCCGGACCAGGCGATTCTCTGATATGGTAGCTTTTAGCCAAAAATTAAGCATAAAGTGATAGTTTTCTGATGGGTTGGTCGAATTGTGATAGCTTTTTGTTAAATACTTGGGCATATGACTGCATGTGATACTACTCACGTGCAAGAGTGAGTAGAGCCATTGCAACGTGTCCATTGGCCTCGTCCGCCGTCTGGTCATGCCTTCCTATTCACCGATGGAGTGTGAACAAAATTGTGTGGCGGATCGATTGGCAAAAAAATAGTCATACGGAATGTGTTATAACGCTGTGGCTCAACCAAGGACATATTTTCAGTTCAGCCTGCCTTCTGCTCAAGAGGAAATGTAAAATCCATAGACATGTAAACCCATCAATCATACAAAGGGGAAAGTACAAACTGTCATCATCATACATAAAAAAATCAAGCTTTGCCCCAACAGTGGGCACATGAATCATCATAGACATGTATAAAAATCAAGAAAGATCGAAGAACCAACGCTTGTTTCCTAACTGTCAACCAGGCTCAGTTGACTCATTCAAGCAATTTAGAGTGATCATCCTTCGTCGCCGGTGGTGGCAAAGGAGCAACTGAAGCTCGAGCAATCATTCGAATTCAGACTTGAACGCCGATCGCCAGGACTGATCGTCGTCGTGGCCGGTGGTGGACTCCCTGGGCGCATCCTCGCCGCGGTAGAACCCCTCCAGGGCCGACTCCGGCAGCCGGCTCTCCGCCAGGTAGTGCTTCATCGTCTCGATCTCCACCTCGTGCTTCTTCCTCATCTTCTCCACCTGCTTCTTCAGCTTCTGGTTCTCCTGCAGCATGGCCGCGCTCCTCTCCTGCAAAGACAAACAAACCCAAAAAAATGAGGAGTTTCTTACAACTCATTTTGAACCAAAATGGTGGTGCTCTGAAGCTCTGAACCGGCCGGACCTTCTCTTGTGTGGACGCCTCCTCGGCTTCCCTGAGCCTGACGAGCAGCTCACCGGCGGCATGCACCGCCTCGGCGGTGTCCCGGAGCTGGACGCGGAGCCGCCTGTTCTGCTCCCTGAGCTGCGCCCGCTCCTTCTCCCGGTCGATCCTCACCGTCGACAGCTCCGCGGCGAGGGCGGCGGCGAAGGCCGTGCCGCAGCCCTTCTTGCCGGCCCTGGCGGCCGCCCTCTTCACCTCCGCGATGCCCCCCATGACCCCGCGGTGCCGCTCCAGGAGGTCGTTGTACAGCTCCTGGAGCTCCACGTAGTGCTCGATGATCCTGGCGTGGCCGTAGATGGCCCGCTGGAGGGCGTCGTCCAGCTCCTCCGTGCACTTCTTCTCGTCCCGGAGCTCCGCCTCCGTCTTCTCCGCGTGCCTCCGGCTCGACTCCAGGTCCACCCTCAGCTCCTCGGTGAGAGAGATCCATTTGCTCTCGGACTCGGTCCATTTCTGCCGCTCTTTCTCCAGCTCGTACTCCTGGTCCGTGCTGCCGTTCCTTATCTGGTCCAGAAGGCTGTCGTTTGCTGTTGATCCGTCTGTGAGAAGCTTCACTTGATCCTTCAGCCTCTGGATTTCGCCTTCAAGTGCTTCCCTCTCATTCACTTCGAGTGGCATCTTGCTATCCTCACATTGTTCAGCAGTCTTATCTTCACCGTCTTCTGATCCCTTCTTTTGTTGCCCAATCTGCAAATGAGCAGAGAAAATCATCAAGGAATGGAAAATAATAATTACCTGAAGAAGCTTACTCACACCACAACATACCAAGTTGCTCAGCTCCTTGATCTTAGCTGCCTGTTCTTCACATAAAGCTTCAAGCTCAGCCACTCTCTTAGAGCCAGTAGTCGAAGAGATGCCACCGTCCTGGTAGAGTACAAATGTTGTGTAAGTAGGTGCCAAGATAAGTTACCGTTCTGGTAGAGTAGTGATCTAAACGATCTTATATTTGTTCACAGAAGGAGTACAAATTATGCCAACAAAATAGCATACCTGGAGGGAAGCATTAGCTAAGTCATTGTATGTGACAGCAGTTGCCGTTACAATCTGCTTCTCTGAGTTTTTGTCCTCTGAATGTTCCTCATTCTCCATTGCTTTCTTGCAGGATGAACAAATGGTAGAAGCCGAACTGGCGTCCCCCTCCGGTAATGCCTCAAGGGCTGAACTTGCTTTTGCTGACTGGCGGGGGTTCAGCGCAAAATGATCAAATGAAAGGCCAACGAACGATTTTCGTGGGGCTGGAGGGTTCTGCTGATGGTACTCTATAATGTGCAGGCCCCGTTGGAGACTTGCAGCCAGCGAGTCAGTGGGAGTAAGCTTGCTCGATTGTAAGGAGGAGCGCACTGCACTCTTCCTATACGTTTCGAAATCGGCTTCTCCTGGGCTGGATTCACTGAGCTTGCTTGGAGAGAACCCTGGCGAAGCAACGCTCTTTCTTGCCTTGTGGATCTTTGGAGAAGAGCAGAATGTCGCGTCTTGGATTGGGCTCAGCTGTTCGGAAGCACTAATTGATAGAACAGATTTCCTGTCAGAAACCTGGTCATGATCAGCATTTGTATTGCTCTGCATTTTCTGGGGCTCTTCCTGAAGTGGGCCTTCACTGTCATCTATGACAACCTGATCATCATGTTCCCATGGTATTGGACTGTCCTCTCCACTCTCTGCATCCATGAAGTCATCAAGAGTGTCTTCAGATGAAGAATGAATCTTGCTAATTTGATCACGCAGTTCATGTACATCGTCTTCATCCACATCCATTTCATCCTCTGCTTCAACTTCTATAGGAGGCAAAATTATAGAGCGGTTGAGGCTCACTCGCAAAGTGTGCAAGCTTGCCCGAGCAATTTGTGCATTGAAGTATCCAGTCTCAGATGTTGCATGCTCTCCAGACTTGGTTCTTACAAGTTCATCCTGCAGGTCATATAACACAATTAGCAAATTTCTGTAAACTGTTGCCATATGTGTCTACTCTCTACTGTGCTCCTGTAATACCTTCAGCTGACGGATCTGATCACTCAGACCATTAACATCATCTTCTGATATCTCATTTACCACAGCTTTGTTTGGCATGAGCTTTGCTCGCTCACCAAACCTTAGCGTGCTTAAAGTCTCAGACCTGTATCTGCATTTCAGAGGAACAGGCCAACTTAAGAAACTGTAGCTTACCCCCTAATGATAAAGCGCTCAAGAAAATGTAAGGGACATATGAAAACTCCAGAACTAAACATACCTGTGCTCTGAAGAAATGGAACACAAAAATGTAGCCCTTGAATTGCCACCTAGTGTATCCTTCAGCACATGTGTCAAACGGGACTGGCTGTATGGCAATTCATCTTCCTGGGGCTTTGGTTCCTCTGAAAGAATATTGACTAGTTTCCTGAAATCACAGTGCACAAACGTGAGATATCTGCCTTTTTACATTCTTGTTAAAGGAAAGATAAATTACTCCAGTAAAGAGGCAATGACGTATTAGTGTCAATAATTGCAAAAATATCAATCACACAATCTGAATGTTTTTGCTACAAGAAGGATCAGTAAATATGTATAGTAAGAAAAATATCAATCATGCAATCCCAATAGGAAAAATAATTGTGTACTTATCATTAAACAACATACCCGAGGCTTGAGAGAGACTTCTTAACGTGCCTTTCCTCTCGTGTAATGTTCTTTCCAGCACCATCACTTTCATCAATATCAACACCAGCTAGATCAACAAAGGTAATTTTGCTAGTTTTTGAACTACTAAAGCCATTTGATGACAAATCCTGCAACATTAGTTGAATAAAGTAAGATAAATCACCAAAATTATATCCTCTTATCAGCAGACTATTCAAAATGAAGTAAGAAAAATCACCACATCTACATCTGCTAATCAGGTGTAGAATATGGAAATTAGAGTAGAATGAACTAGCAGGATATTGAATTTGTGAAATGCTCTGGCACTGATATGAATATATGATTACTACAATATTTGCAGTCAAATTAATGGCTGTAAAGTGCAAAAATGGAGGATAGGCAACAAAATACACAACGCAAGAAAACAAATTTGCATAAAATCTTATGAGGGGAATATGATTACCTTGCTCCAAGCTTCAATCACACAAGTGAATATCACGTGAGAACGTGAATTTTTTAAGTTCATACTATCAACACCAATTTTTCTTTTTGTCAGGCCCTGCAAAAGGAAGCAACTCATGCTAAGCATGACACGTATGATTGGAAACTTTGGTATCAAGATAACTAGCAACAACCCTAGAACAATGGTAGACTGAAGCGCATGATGGTTATTGTACATGTTACATCAAATACAGCAAAATAGTAATGGTGCTGAGAGAGCATGGTGAAAAGCAATTATCATGAACTGGTGATCTAAACATCATAATTGCAGCTGGGTTTCAAAATAAGCTTTTTGGGTTGCTCTAAGTTAGTCCATGTAGTGTGAACATAATAGTCCATGCAAACAAGGATTGCCTTTCTGGATTGAGTAGAAATGATTATCTAGATGGAAAGCGAGAATCTCACTAGAGTGCCTAGAAGATTGCATCAAATATATTTTTAATCATCGAATCAAGTATTTCAACAATTTTGAACTTTCTTCTTAAAACATAATCACGGTGCGCTATTCCCTGTAACACTAACTAGACATGAGCATCAATTATCCTATTGGTTTTTCTGAAAACCATGCATCAAATATATTTTTTAATCATCGAATCATGTATTTCACAATTTTGAACTTTCTTGTAACACTAACTAGACACGAGCTTCAGTTATCCTATTGGTTCTCTGAAAACTATAAATACACACAATTAAATAGTAATAAGTATTGGTTAGGCCTCTCGCAATACCTTCATCAAGATCTGATTTACATCCTCGACTGTTGATACATACTCCTCGGTCAAGTTCTCAACATGGACACCATTGCCAGTGGTCTCCATTATCTAAAAGGGTGGAGCTGGGTAAGATATCCATATAAACCAGCACAAGTGCACGTTTCAATGTAACTTTCTTGAGTAGGAATATACCTGAAGATTACGTTGAGATGGATCAAGCAGGTCATTGATCTGCTCATTAAATACCTGCAAGAAGTTGGAAAGCAGAGAAATTAAATTTTCGGTTGCTGGTTCAGTTGTGAATCCTGGAAGCATTTTTTGTTCAAAACATTTCAGTTGTAGAAATCCATATATGTAGATGCAGTATTCATCGATTTTCTAAGTAAGCACCTCGAGAAAGGAGCACCGGCACTGGTAACTCGTGTGCTTCTCCGGGGAGCTCTCTTGGTTCTGCACCAGGAAAAGAACAATTCAACAAGAGAATCGAAGCAGCTTAACTGAAAATTGCCGGGAATTAGAGATAAAGAAAGGGCTCTTACGCCTTGGATTTGGGAGAAGAGGCTGTGGAAGAAGCGAGGCACGACTCCTCGGTCGGCACGGTCGGAGCGGTTGTCGAACATGGCGGCTAGGGGCCCCCACATGGTGTATGTCTTCCCTGTGCCACTCTGGTATGAATCCACGAGTAAAGGCGTCAGCAGCAGTCTCCAGCAGGCAGGAACAGATAAGACGACAGACAGGAAATCGCAGTACCTGGCCGTAGCAGACGAGGGAGGTGTTGAATCCGGCGAGGGCGCTGTGGATCATGGGCACACCCACCATATGGAACGCATCCTCCTGCCAATCACCAATTCACCATCATTCATCCACAGAATTCGTCTCACGGTTATCACGGCGAAGCTCCACCAAAGCAAGCAAGGTGCTCGGGTATGTATGAGACGACTGACGGCGCGGAGCAACTGGAAGCGGAGGTTACCTGGGAAGCCCTGTCGTCGAGGAAGCCGTCGACGGCGAAGGCCCGGTCGCCGACGGCGATGGAGTCGGGGGAGGTCTTGCGCACGAAGAAGAGGTCCTTTCCGTCCACCGGCAGGCTCACCGCCGGCCGCACCCGCACCACGACCTGCCACCACATCTGTAAGCGTAACGGCGACCGACCCGTGGAGAAGAAGCGGGCTGGCCGCGCGAATGAGCGGACGGACGGTGCGTACCTTGACGGCGGGCTCGTCGTCGACTGCTCGCTTCTCAGCGGGCGCTGGCTGGGCGACGGCCGCCGCTGCTGCTGCGCTGGGGACGGGCTTGGACAGGCTCGGCGGCGGCGGCGTGGAGGGTTTGCCGGCCGGGGAGGGCGGGGCGGCGGCGAGGTTGGGGTGGAGGTTCTCCTGGTCGGCGGCGGGGGAGGCGACAGAGAGCGGGGAGAGGGACCGCCGGCGCGAGGTCTGGCGCTTCAGGTTCCGCCGCAGCATCTCCATGGCTGCCGCACGCTCAAGATCGACTGGATCTGCTGCTGTTGCGGCCGGATCGAAGGGGAAAAGAGGGGGAGGAGGAGAAGATGGGAGACGCTTGCTTGCTTTGCTTGAAGATGTAGATGTGGGTGCGCGTGTGAGGACGGCTTGGCTTGACTGGCTGGGCTGGCTGGGTATCCGTTGCGATTCAAAAACTTTTGAAATGGGGAGAGGTGGAGCACCGTTGGGTGGAAGGGAGTGCGGGATCTCTCCCCGGATGTCCCGTTCAGAGCAGAAAGCCGCCAAGATCTGATTTTTTGTTGAAAAAGACCACATGCGAAATTGAATTGACAGAAAAGACCCCTTCTGAAACGAATTGGCAAAAAGGACCCCTTGGACCGTGGCGGCAGGTGCGCCAGGCGACACGTGGCACCTGCCGCCACGGCGCGAGGCGGCGGGCCCTGCCGCCAGCTGACCAGGCGGCAGGCTGCAGGTTACGATTTTCGACGCTGGCGACGGAACGGAAATGGCATGTGGGTCCCTGCCGCCTCAGGGGCTGGCGGCAGGCTTGTTCATGCGCTGCTGCGGTGGCCTCATATTTAAATACGGTGTTCCTGGAGTACAGTACAGAAGCACCACAGGCTGATCCATCAAGTCGCCGCGCGGGTGCGCATGCGAGGCAATGCGAGAAGCAGCACGAGCAGCAGTACACACTCTACTGTTTCCTCCTTGATTTGTCTTGCTTATCTGATATTGTCAGCAGCAGTTTCGGTTTCCGTCTGCCAGAAACGAGGCCGCCGCAGCAGCATGAACAGTCTTGCCGCCAGCCCCTGAGGCGGCAGAGGCCCACATGTCGTTCCCGTTCCGTCGCCAACGCCGAAAACCGTAGCCCGCAACCTGCCGCCTGGCTGGCTGGCGGCAGGGCCTGCCACCTCGCGCCGTGGCGGCAGGTGACACATGTCGCCTCGCGCGCCTGCCGCCACCGTTGAGGGGGTCCTTTTTGCCAATTCGTCTCAGAGGGGGTCTTTTCCGGCAATTCGGTTCTGCAGGTGGTCTCTTTCGACAAAAAATCCCAAGATCTCACCTTCGGGAAATAAAAATCATCGGGTGGTAATAATAGAAGATTCCCATGCTACTACTTTCTAGTATTTCCTTTTGAAAAAGACGTTTTTTTAGCCCCAAAAAAAGCCGGCTAGGGCAACTCCAAGGGGCACCATACGATTTATTCAAGTGGCTGTCCACGGACATGTTTGGACCGGAACCCTTCTTCAACGGGCCCCATTTGTTTGTGGACAGCCCGTCGCCCCGTTTGGGCCCCAACTATGGAAAGAAAAGGGGGTGTCAACTTTTTTTTTTAAAAAAAAGGGTGTCTAGGTGCACACATGTCTGCTGTTGCGCCGACCCACGCTCGCGCCAAACAAGATCTCCATCTTCTCACTCTTCATTTCATTCCCCCTCGTCGCCCCGTCTTCCTCTTCCCCACCAACCAAAATCCCATTCTGTTGCCCCTATCGCCGTCGACCACGATGACGAGGAGCTGCTATAGGAATCTCGCACTGCCTGGTTGCTCCGCATGCTCGACAGAGCTACTTCAGGTTCCAACTTAGCATCTACATTTTCACAGTTGCTCCCTATCAATTGGATCTTCTACTGTGGTCGAATCGAAGGGAGAAACATAGTTAGGAGATGGTAGGATGTGGATGTGTGCACGTGTGTGACGTGTGAGGTTTCATTGGCTAGCCATCCACAACAATTCAAAAACTACTGGAAAAGGGGATGTGGCATAGAGCAAGATGAAGAGAAGAGAGACCTACCTTGGGTGGTAATGTGGGATAAGATTTTTTTTTCTTTGCTAAACCTATGAGCAAAACTTACATGCCAATCTACATAATATAATGTTCCACTAACCTCTCAATAATCCTTTCCTTCCTGATTTCATTCTCTGTGGGGTTCGGTGCTATCCAACCATAATTACCAGCCCTTGATCTGTCATTTTGCAAGTGTGGCATTGCTCTGATCACTTCCACTAGGGGGAGGGGACCCAATTTTGTCCCTCCACCCCAACCCCCACTAATCATTTACCCTGTATAAATCCTGGCCATCATATGCATTCGGGTAAACCTCCAATACCAGCAGCTTCTAAAACATTCTTGTACCGAAAATGAGTTAGCAGCAACACTCACACATAGACATTCGGTTAACACTTGCTCATGACAGCCAGCTCGACTGCTTCTTAGTTCAACATGCAGTTGGGCAAACACATAGCAAGCACTCATCACAACAAATGCAACCGTAAAAGAATAATATGCGGTTGTTACATTTCCAACACATGATTTGTTATGATTTCCCTGATCTCATGGAAAATGGTGGACTCGATATGTTTTCATATTCTGGAACTTTGCTGCTTCGAATTCTTTTTTGATAGACCATCAAAGAACGATACAACCTTTTCTAGAACAAGGACATAAAGGTCTAAGGAGATGGAGCCAAAATCTGGAGAGTTTAGATTTGAGTACAACTAGTTGACTCATCTTGATTTTTTGAGAAGAGTTGAGATGGGCTTAGTTGGCTCATGTGAGTGCCAAGGATAACATGAGTAGGGTATTCTTAAAGTTTAAGAAAGTGAAGGATAATCTTAAAGGTTGTATGTGTATTGGGGGAGGAGGGCTAATATCAGAGAAGATAGTAGCAAAAGGTAGAAAAAATGTTGGCATGACTATTGGAAATACGCCCTAGATGCAATAATATTGTTATTATATTTCCATATTCATAATTAAGAGTTTACATTCCATGTTATAACTGCTATGGTCCTGGAATATGCGATTTAGTGGAAAACTCATATGCACGTGTGGAATGATAAACGGTAAAATATGATTCCTAGTCTCGCCTCCAAGACTAGCTCAAGTGTTGTTGGTGATCATGTTTTCCGGATCTTAAGACATCGTTAAGTGTGATGATAGTCCTAAAACAACATTGAGAGTAACGTTGGAAGAACGATCATAATTAATCGACCCAAAACTTGTTTGTTATACTTTGCGATGCAATCAACAAAAGTCAATGTTATAACACGGAGTGTTAACTTGTGATTTAGTTCCTTAGATCATGAGAGTATCGCAGTCACTTCTTACCGTAAGATGGACTTTGGGGTTGCTCAAACGTCATTTGTAACTAGGTGATCATAACGACAACTTACAGGCTCATCGGAAAGTTTGACAAGGGACTCGATAGCTCGAGAGTGGAATTTTCTCCTCCGACGATGGAGAGATATTCTTAGGGCCCTCTCAGTGTGATGGAATCCATCATCGTCTGGCCAAACACAGGAGACTATGTCACGGGGATGCTGGAACATGTCAACGAGGAAGAAGAACAAAACCGGCAACAAGGAGACCGGTATAGTGAGCATGTATATGACTCAAGAGGATACTGATACATCTCACCTTGGGTTTTGTAAAGTATCACGAAGCAAAGGTAACATCACATGATAACCAAAGGTTCATTTGACTGTCATTCGTGTAATAATAGGGATCGATATAGTTGTAGAATTATGGCTCACGGTTCCACCTTTGTTGTTGAAATTGATTCATTGTTATTTATCTGGTTGAATCTTTATGAGTGAGAGGATCATCCTCTAAAAGTGCCAAGAAGGATTTTGTCCCACTGCATGTTTACAATACCCTCTTGCTAATGATATGGATGACGAGACTCATGCCCTTCGATCCAAAAGCTAGAATTGTATTACGGTCTGCTTGCTTTCGAGTATCCCGGATTTCAAAATGTTTGGGATAGTTATATAATATTTTTGGAACTGAAAATTGTTTGTAGAAACAAATAAAGATATGTAATATCTAAAGAAGTGTTTGGTTTGCAAGTTCTAGTGAAGCGTTCAACTATGTTTAAGACTGAACTATATAAGAACTTGAAGAACGCCAGTCATGATTTGATGGTGAGAACTTAAAGAGAAAGAACATAACTAAAGGATTAATGAGACTTACATGCTTAGGGAAGTTCTAGGTCACGCTACTCTTAAAAGTTGGATGCTTCTTTTGTGAATAGGATAAATATTGGAAGTAAAACTATAAGAAGTAAAAGGCAGAAAAAAAGAAGACTGGAATGTCCAGCTCAGGTATAAATGTGATGCAGGTTATAAGGTGTAGAGATGGTTTGTCAAGTAAAGTGTAGTTCTTGGGAAATATGATCAATTTGTTGATCATTAATTCTTCGGTATTGTGATTAAGATCACAAGGATATCGACTCGATTGCATATTGTTGTGGATCATTGAAAAAACTACCAACGGCCTAAATGACCAACAAATAATGAGGTTGTTCATGAAGAGAACAATAGTTGTTTAAGTGTTATGAACAAAAAGGCCATACTCCTATTGTGAATAAGATGTATGTTATCATATTGATGATAAAATTGAACATCCATAACACTAATGCTAAATGTCGCAAGACTAAAAGAATACCACATATGTGTGGCACTGCATTTAGTCACATTTGAGAAACCAACATGGAGAAATTTCATAGTGATGGATTTTGAAGCCATCGATTATGAATCATCTTACACTTGAAACTTTCGTTCAATTAGTGAAGTATAAACTAAAATACCGTTCACATGACATAAAGAATGAGCGACAAAATAACTGAAAATATGCATATTGATGTGTGTCGTCCAATAAGTGTTGTTGCGAGCAGTGGATTTATCTACCTTTACGGATAACGCAAGTAGATATTTATGTTTACTAAGACATAAATCAAGATATTTTAAAATGTTTCGAAAGGTTATTCCGGAATGAAGTAGAACTAATGGTACCAAAAATTATGTTTCTACAACTGGATTGCAGAAAGAAATATTTGAGTTACAAATTAAATTTAGCGAATGTCTGATGAGTTGTGAAAAGAATTTTATAGGTTGCACTTCCCAAAACATTACTAAGAATAGAAGTGTTTTGAGTAGATGTAATCAAGCTATGTATGACATAGTAAGATCCAATATGACACTAGTCAATTTGCCAATATACTTTTAA